TGACATGCTCCGTCACTCAAAAATCAAGCTATTTTATGACTCTTTCTCATCTGTCCTATGCTGGCTACAAAAGCACCATGGCTGTGCCAAGTCAAGGAAATATGTATCTGAGAAAATTAAAAAGAAAAAAAAATGTATGCTTCAGAGTCTAGAAGGTATAATTGGCTAGGCCAAAAGTTCTGAATAGTGTCAGACAAAATGTTCTTGCACATTAAAGAATGCTCAATATCATCATTCATAGGGAAACGCAAATCAAAATCACAGTGAGGTATCACTTCACACCCACTAGGATGGCTATAACCAAAAAAACAGACAATAACAAGCATTGGTGAGGATGTAGAGAAATTGGGACCCTCAAACACTGCTAGTGGGCTAGGTGCGATGGCTCACCCTTGTAATCTGAGCAGTCTGGGAGGCCAAGATGGGAGGATTGCTTGGGGTCAGGAGTTCGAGACGAGCCTGAGTAAGAGCGAGACCTCGTCTCTACTAAAAATAGAAAAATTAGCCAGGTGTTCATGGTGTGCACCTATAGTCTCAGCTACTTAGGAGGCTGAGGCAGGAGGATCACTTGAGCCCAGGAGTTTGAGGTTGCTGTGAGCTAGGCTGACGCCACGGCACTCTACTCAGGGCAACAAGTGAGACTCTTTCCCCCCCAAAAAAACAAACTTGTACTCAAATGTTCAAAACAACTCAAATGTCTATCAACTAATGAATGAAATAAAATGAGGCTTATCCATACAATTGAATATTGTTTAGTAATAAAAAGAAATGAACTGCTGATAATATGGTACACGTGGATGAACCTTGGAAACATTATCTTAAGTGAAAGAAGCCAGACACAAAAGGCCACACATTATATGATTCCATTTATAAGAAATGTCCAGAATAGGTAAATCCATAGAAACAGAAAGTAGATTAGTGATTCCCAAGGGCTGGAGTGTTCAGAGAGGAATAAAGAGTATGGAGTTTCTTTTTGGGGTGATGAAAATGTTGTGGAATTAGATAGTGGTGATGGTTGCACAACTGTGTAAATATACCAAAAACTATTGAATTGTATACTTTAAATGGATGAATTTTATGGTGTGTAAATTATATTTCAAGTAAGCGGTTTAAAGTAAATGTCTTTTCACAAACGGCCAGTACCCACAACCTTCTATAACAGCAGTGTCCAATAAAACTTTCTGTGATGATAGAAATGTGTTTTGTTTTTGTTTTTGTTTTTTTTGAGACAGAGTCTCACTTTGTTACCCAGGCTAGAGTGAGTGCCATGGCGTCAGCCTAGCTCACAGCAACCTCAAACTCCTGGGCTCAAGCGATTCTGCTGCCTCAGCCTCCTGAGTAGCTGGGACTACAGGCATGCGCCACCATGCCCGGCTAATTTTTTTCTATATATATTAGTTGGCCAATTAATTTCTTTCTGTTTATAGTAGAGACAGGGTCTCACTCTTGCTCAGGCTGGTTTCGAACTCCTGACCTTGAGCAATCCGCCCGCCTCGGCCTCCCAGAGAGCTAGGATTACAGGCGTGAGCCACCGTGCCCGGCCTCAGAGTCTCACTCTTGCTCAGGCTGGTTTCGAACTCCTGACCTTGAGCGATCCGCCTGCCTCGGCCTCCCAGAGTGCCAGGGTTATAGGCATGAGCAACCATGCCCAGCCCACCTGTAAGTATTGAGTGCTTAAAATGTAGCTTGTGTCACTGAGTACTGAATTTTAATTAATTAAAACTTAGCCATATGTTGCAAGTAATTACCATATTTGACAGCTCAACTCTAGAGTGTATACAGAAATTTAGAGTTTCTACTCAAAGTTTATCCTCCACTTTTGCTTTCATACTAAATGGGTTTCTCAAGAAAAGATGGAGCTTTTCCTGAACCCTGGCTACACAAACACCTGTCAGATGAAGAGCTTCTTTACCTTTATACTCCTACTGCATCCTGACTGACACTGACCTAGTTGGTCTCTATAGTATAAGGATTCATTTTCTGACATGGCTTTGCTGCCCTCCTGTCTCAAAAGGATTCTTGGTCAGGTTGTCTCTGCAAATGTGAGAACTTTTCAAGAAAGTTGATTCCAGCTCAGATTGACTATCCAATATAGGAGCAAATGGTACTCACTGTAGAGGCTGGCTGCCTTCAGCACCCTTTGATCATGTGTCACAAAACTCCAGCCTCCCACCTCAAGAATGTTCCAGAACAACATGTTACACTCTTTCACCCAGCAAAGCCTGTCCTACTCCACTTGGCATGTGAGGGGTGTGTGTGTGTGTGTGTGTGTGTGTGTGTGTGTGTGTGTGCGTGTGTGTGTGTGCGCGCGCATGTCACGGGAGAGACTTTAGAACAACTATTCTAGCCCTATGTCTTTAACCCAAATCTACCCATCTACCCACCATGCAGTCATTACATAGCCAATAGCCAGCACCAGTAAGAGGAGGGAGCAGGTTATGGACTGAATGTTTATAGCACCCCCACACATCAAATTCCTGTGTTGAATCTCTAAACCCCAATGTGATAGTATTGAGAGGTGTGGCCTTCAGGAGGCAATTGAACTTACATGAAGTCATGAAAGTAGAGGCCCCATGATGGGATCAGTGCCCCTATAGAAGAGAAAGAAAACAGAGTTCTCTCTCTCAGCCATGTGAAGATGCAGGGAGAAGGTGGCCATCTGCAAGCTAGGAAGAAAGCCCTCACCAGGAACAGAAGCATCTGGCATCTTGCTCTTGGACTTCCAGCCTTCAGAACTGTAATAAATCCTTGTTCTTTAAGCCACCCAGTCTACAGTATTTTGTTTTGGTAACCTGAGTAGAGTAAGACAGAGCACCAGGAAACCAAGTCCTACTTGCAGTCTAAGTCCCAGGCCCTCTTCTCTCATTTATACTTTATTCCGTAACTCCTGCTCCATTCTGCATCTATCCAGCTCCTGACATCAGTCTTCACCCCTTCTTGCTGGCTCTGCTTGCACCCCCTTGGACTTTAATACAGAGTTTGTTTCTCCTTCCTGACCCTTCATATACTTCTATGGACACAATTTTGCTCTTCACTGTCTCCATCCAGTCAGAGCATCTCTGAGTCACCCTCTGTTTGATCTGACCTTAAGCTGTCCCCCACAGTGATCCTCACAGTTGAAAGGCCAATGACTCATCTGGAGCCTGAAGGAGACTGTACCTTAGTTATACTATTATTTCAAGGACAGAGTATTTTTTTTCCAGGAAGAAAGTGATGAATTTCTCACCAATCAAAGAACAATTATATCTAATTGTTTGATAATATAAAAAATCATTGCCATGACTCATGAATCTGATACTTAAACAGTCTGGAAAATCTTGTGGCTTTTTTAAAATACCCTCTGTGGGTTTAAAATTTGCACATCTATCATAATTGTCACTGACCGATGACATTCCTCATAAAACCCATCTAAACTTTTCAGTACACTCTTCCACTTTTTATTCCAGGGCTATACTAGACTTTTTCTTATTTGTTTGTTTCTTTCTTTTTCTTTATTTCAGAATTTTATGGTGGTACACACATTTTGGTTACATAATTTGCTTTTATACAGTTTGAGTCAATGTTATAAGTGTGCCCTTAACCCAAATAGTGTGCATTGTACCTGTTAGGTGTGAATTTACCAATCCCCTCCTCCCCCGCCCACATACTTGATTTCCCTTGAGTTTTACTTCCATATGTGCACATAAGTATTGCTATATTAGTTCTAATTTAGTATTGAGTACATGTGGTGTTTGTTTCTCCATTCTTGTGATACTTCACTAAGAAGATCGAATGTTTATACTAGACTCTTATATCCCTCTGTTCCTAGATTACTCTATTCCATGCCCCATGACCCTTCACAAAAACCCACTAGAGTTTGTGTCATGTAAACCACCACCATACAGGTGTTCAAAGTTTTATAGTTTTAAATTGCACTAATTTATTAAATCAGCACATATGTGTTGAGTGTCTAACCTATGTGTCAAGACCTGTGTTTGGATGCTTTGGATAAAGAAATGGAGAAAATAGAGTTTCTTGCCTTTGAGGAAACAAGCTGAGGAAAGATAAATCAACATCTTAGCAGGTAGGCAAGGCCAAGTGACAGAGCTGCCACTGTGCCCCATGGGCCCCATTTCAACCTTTATTATAACAAACATGGTTTCCCGTCAGACCCTGCATGTGGCAAGAAGCCAGTCAGTGTTCGTTATTCATAGTGATGATGATTTGATATTTTTTTAGAAGATTAACTCTCAAATCTAAGGACTGTTCAAATTAAACCCCAAGTCAATTTCATTAGGAATTGTCACTCACTAGCATTTGTGACCTTTTGGCTAAAGACTAATGTGCTGAATGAGCAATGCTAGCAACTGAGTTTACTTAATATGGACAAGATTGCAGTTTTCCAAGACAATCTTCTCCTAAGTCCCCAAATTATCAGCTGCTTCAATGAATGGTTTTATCTATTCACTGCAAAATAGAAACAAAGAATCTATCTCCATTCCTGTCACAGAGTCTAGGCAAGATCTGGGCCCTTCCAGAAGATATGCCTGTCTGTCATTGTGCATCAGTTACTAGCTGTTGGCATACCTCAGTTTCCCCATCTGTATTCTATGATCATTACTGTATACATATAATGGAGACAGAAAAATGTTATTACAATGCTCCAGGGAGCTTTAAATAAAGCACTATGGATGAGAAGAAACAGTCCAAAAGAAAACCAAATCTTCTGTTAAGTGTGCATTAGCCTCCAAATGGCATTTCAGAGTTGCATTAAGAAATGTCAAAAGCAGTAGTTCAAACTACTGCCTGCTTGAGGCCAGTTCTCCATCGGTCATGCCTAATACTGAATGAACGGACTCATTTGCTGAAGCTCCAGCTTGTACTACAGCCATATTGACCAAAAGGAGGCCATTGAGGGGCAGCCCAGCAAATCTCCACTGGTAGTATTTTTCAAATGGTTTACTTCTATAACCTACTGTATATGAGACATTGGAAGAGATAATAAGAATACATTTCCTTACCTGAGAGAAAGATAAAACTCGACATGAGAAACAATCCATAAAGCCTCTGATATATGATGTGTTCTTTCATTGTCTAAATCTGTATTCAAAAAGTCAGAAATATACCCAGCTCAGAGTCAGAACGAACAATTTCTAAGTATATGTTACCACACTTCTCCTTCTCATCCCACGTAAGGTTTTGTCCCATTGCTTAAAGTCATGTCAGCCAACCCCAAGATAGGCACTTACCTGAGTTATCCAGCCTGGTCGAGCCCTCACTGATTGATTTATCTGTATAGTCACTCAATAAATTGTATTGACTCCCTACTATGTGAAGACGCTGTGTTACCCACTGGGAATACAGTGCTAAGAAGACAAGATGGGTTTCTGCCTTCATGGGACAAAGTTATCCCAGTAGAAAAGACGCTAAGGCATAATTATAAAATATGATGCATTCAACCCTAATGCACACAACTTCAACCCAACTACTTGCGGTTTTAATGGTCCTAAATTTTTTGAAGAAACACAATGCAAGAAGACCTTGCTGCCAAATGTAACTCATCAAATCATTCCTATTTTTAAAGCAGATCTGTTTAGAAAAACCTAACCACCATTTCATTACATTCACACAGCTTCTCTCCTTAATTAATTGTAACTAAAGCTTCTTATTTGGGAAACACACTGAAAACTCCCCTTCTTTCCAAACAAAAATGATGTTAAATGGCAAATCCTACAGAAACATATTACAGAAAATTGGCAGTAGGGCGCTGATGGGCATTTTCTGATTTTAAATAAAACATACTTGTCAATGATTTACTACTGATTTAAACATTTCCTTTTCTATAGGATAATGCAATATAGTGTATCTCTTTCCACTTGTAAGTGGGATTTGGAGTGAATAGACTCACTTTACATTTAATGTAAGAGAAGCCAATCAGGAAATCAAATGAATCTTGGTCTTGCTATGAGCGTCAGCCATTAATCAGGCTCTTCATATTTACCAAGTGTTCTACTGCCATTCTCATTAGAATAATAAGGGAATTTGTATGACTTGGATGGATTTTCTAAACTATGAACTTAGAAGTAAGGGGGTGTCTAAATCTTTTATGACTTTCAAGATGAAATGCAGCTTAAATTTATAGTGCTGTAAGAGTACTAGACTGAGAATCAGTAACTGGCTGTGAGACCATACATATTTCTGTTCCTTAATTTCCATGGGCCTCAGTTTCCTTATCTGTAAAAAATAGAGATAATAATCTGCCTATTTCCCAGAGCTGCTCTAGAAGAGGATCAAATGAGATGATATTTCGAAGGCAATTTTCAAAGTATAAAGTGAATATGATTGGATATGATTGCTATCTATGAAATGGAATTTTCAGCAGCAAACAATCCAATTTATATTTTTCTTCCATTTCCTCTAAACTTTTATAACAACTCCAAGGTATGTTTCAGAAACTTACCTGGCACCCAATAAATAAATCATGGGGCATTCACATGAGAGAATATTATGCAGCCATTAAAAGGAACAAGGTAAATCTATATGTCAGGCATGAAAGGTTGGTTGGGAAGAGGGAGGAGGCTTGAGTACTTTTTCTTTATATACTATACCATGATGTACAGCTTGATTCTTTTACAATGATAATACATTACTTATATAATTTTTTAAATTGAAGGAAAGGAGAAAGGAAAGAAAGGAGGGAGAGAGGAAGGGAGGAAGGACAGGAAGGAAGCATGGGAGTTAAGTTTCCTTCATACCCCTACAATTCTATGCTATTGGATTATTTTACAATGAGCATGCATTACTTTCATAATTTTGAAAAAAATTGAAAGTAAGAAGTAAAGGAGGTTGAGAAAGAGGTAGAAAGAAAAAGGGTGGAAAGTAAGGACTTGTATCTTATACCTCATACAATTACATGCAATTTGGTTCTTTTATGATGAGTGTTGGTCACTTTTATAATTTTTAAAAAGTTAAAGAAAGAACGGAGGAAAGGAGAAAAGGAGGAAAGGATGGAAAGGAAGGGAAAGAAGGAAGGGAGGGAGAGATGAAGAAAGGAAGAGAGACACTTACCTGAGAAGTGGACTCCTTTAACTTCCCACCTCTAAATGACCAGATCTGGTCTCTAAATCCCTATCCTATGTTTGATGTGAAATAGAAGGAGCAGAAAACAAGAGACTCATCATCTGCTGGCCATGCTCGGTCACCTTCTTTTCTGGATCAAACCAGCCTCTCTGCTCTTAGCTTTATGGGGCTTATTGACTCAGGTAGATCCTCTTTTTGTGGCTTACAGCACGTCACGGGGCTGCTCTCCCGAGCATAAAATCAGCATGAGCAAAGTTCTCAGGTTATTACACACCTGCAATAACCCATTAATTTGATGGTTCTTTCCCAGTTTTCAGTAAGGTTTATCTTCAGTTCCTACTTAATTATTACTTTAATTAAATTGGATATATTAAACAGGTACTTGCTCATTTCACTTTATTGAGAAAATGGGGAGTGGGGGTGGGTGTTCAGAACTACAAGCAGAAACCAAAGGCCAAGAAGGCATTAACATGTTCACATCTCACACTGTCTATAAGATGAACCCAGCTGTTTACCCTCATTGGAGATCCATTCTTCAAATTGCGTTGAAAATAAATACATTTACTGAACTGGTTTTATGCTATCCTCAAGAGGGGGATGTAGTTTTGGTCTCAGAAGGTGTCATTACAGACCCTTTGGGGTGATGGAAATATCACCAAATCCCCATCAAGGATTCGGAGGTGGACCTTGTGAGCCTCCATGCTTCACAGATGAAGACCCTGAGGTCTGAACGGTAGAATGACTTGCCCAAAGTCATAAAGCTTGTGAACAGCAAAACAGGAGCTGGAACCAAGGTCTTCTGACTCCCATACCAGTGCATTTTCCTCTCCATCTCATGCTTTAAATTGAAAACTTCAGTCAAATAGGAGGCTGACTCAACCAATCTGTAGGCCAGGATTCTCCACAGCAGAAGAGGGAAGGAGGAGGTATATCAGAATAACCCATGATTCACCCCCTAAGCCCACAAACTTTGATCAGCATAATGAATTAGAGCCCAGCCTTTGCAGAAAGATATACTTGAGTTTGAATCCCAGCTGTGTGACTTAAGGCCAGTTCCCTAACATCTCTGGAGCCCCCAGTGTCCTCATCTGCAAAACATGGATAATGGAACTCATCTCATATTTCTGTGAAGATTATATGACACAATGTGTGTAAACTGCTTCGCCCAGCGCTTGGCACTGGGTTCTTGTGCCATTGCTCCTGTCTAGGACTCCACTCCTTCTCCTTTCTACTAGGCACAGGGCTTAGGTTTTGTGATCTGTCCCCACCCCCCTCCACAGGATCACACAGCTTACAAAAGGATGTGGAGCAATTGCCAAGGAGCATCTCTGCGTTTCCCTGGTATTTGTTTATATTCCACACCATGCCTGCTTGGTCTGCCTTACCCCTAAGCTTTTCCAAACACTAAGCTTTGGAAGGGCAGGAACTCCATGTTATTCAGTCGTTCACACACAGTCTGGCACATAGAGGGCACTCAATCAATATTTCATAGATGAATGACTGCCTTTGCCCCCTAATATAGTATAAGCTTCCTGAAGACAGGGAAACACAGCTCTATTAATTTTTTTGTTTTTGTTTTTGTTTTGTTTCTTTTATTTTTTTTTTATTTTTTATTTTTTTTGAGACAGAGTCTCACTTTGTTGCTCAGGCTAGAGTGAGTGCCGTGGCGTCAGCCTTGCTCACAGCAACCTCAAACTCCTGGGCTCGAGTGATCCTTCTGCCTCAGCCTCCCAAGTAGCTGGGACTACAGGCATGCGCCACCATGCCCAGCTAATTTTTTTTTCTATATATATTAGTTGGCCAATTAATTTCTTTCTATTTATAGTAGAGACGGGGTCTCACTCTTGCTCAGGCTGGTTTTGAACTCCTGACTTCGAGCAATCCGCCCGCCTCGGCCTCCCAGAGTGCTAGGATTACAGGCGTGAGCCACCACGCCCGGCCTGTTTCTTTTATTTTTTGAGACAGAGTCTCGCTTTGTTGCCCAGGCTAGAGTGAGTGTCGTGGTGTCAGCCTAGCTCACAGCAACCTCAAACTCCTGGGCTCAAGCAATCCTTCTGCCTCAGCCTCCCAAGTAGCTGGGACTACGGGCATGCGCCACCATGCCCGGCTAATTTTTTCTATATATATTAGTTGGCCAATTAATTTCTTTCTATTTATAGTAGAGGCGGGGTCTCACTCTTGCTCAGGCTGGTTTCGAACTCCTGACCTCGAGCAATCCGCCCGCCTTGGCCTCCCAGAGTGCTAGGACTACAGGCAAGAGCCACCGCGCCCAGCAGAGCTCTATTATTTTTGTGTCCTGTCCCAGGAGTTAGCACAGTGCCTGACACATAGTAGGTGCTTAATGAATATTTGTTGAATTGAAAAAGGGAATTTAGAGGAGAATATATTCATATATACTTGGCAATGTCATAAAATGTCTCTGGAAGGAGACCCTGGTGAGAATAGTTGCTTCTAGATGGGGAGACAGAGGGGTCTTGGTTGGGAGGGAAACTGAGTTTTCACTGAATATGCTTTTGTACTGTTAGAATCTTAATCATCTGCATGTGTTATATTTTTCCAAGAAAAACACTATTCTGTTAAAAGTCTAATATAATACAAATAAAATAATTGGAAAATGAAACATACAAAAAAATAAAGAGGTAAGGACTCTTTGGTCAGGAAAAAAAATGCCACCTAAGAGGGCTTCAGTGGATGGCTTCCATTCTCTGGAAGGTTATAAGGAGAATGTTGACCATCTGCTCCCCATATCTACAAAGTAATAGGAAATGGACTGATATTGATGGGAGATGTAGGTTAGACATAAATAAGTCATTATTGACAATAGGAGCTAATAAACACCAGAAAAGGCCGTCACGGGATGTTATAAGCCATCCATCCCTGGAAACACAAAGGCCTAGGTACTAAGCCATATGGCTCTGCTCATTTACTTGTCCTCCCGCAGAGAGGGCTAAGCTGAATGACTTATTGTGATTTGTGATTCTGTTTCTTTTCTTTTCTTTTCTTTTTTTTTT